ACAAAAGCAATGGATGTATGCATATAATCCAATCACCCAGCAACTAAGGGTCCAATCGGGTGCATACGTCAGTGAAACAGAATAACTGCCTAATCACAAGATGGGTCTAGGATGCACTATTATGATCGAGTATTCATTTTTTACTTAGGCTTTCAGTGAGGCAGTTCATAAAAATGACGAAAAACTGTTTCTCCTCTCAAGCTGTCGTTGAATAAGCACATGTTTTTATCTGCAGACGACTTTGTTCTTATTTATTAATTCGTAACAGTTGGGACATACTTTTCTTAAGTTCCTGGATAGACTGTTTCGTATCCCACACCATATTGGAGGATGTACAAAATGCCCACGCAGTTAGGCCTATCATATCAAGTGGAAAGCCGTTTAGTCACACGTGCATTGGAAGCTTTGTACTCGAGAAGTAAGCAGTACCCAACATCTCTTTATACGTGAGAACATTGTTTTTAAAACCGCCAGGTAGTATGCAGCAGGGGCCGTTGGATCTAGTGGCTATTCTGTAATTTGCATGGGTCTGCATTTGTAAAGTACACGAGGGTCTTTTTACGGTTCATTCTTTCACAGAAGTCGCTGAAATATTTCGCTTTCGAGAACTTTTTTAGTTAGACTGCTCACGTGACGATTTCTGTGATAATCAGTCAAAGAACACACGTAAGCGACCAATAGGAACGTCTGCGGGGCCAAACGTCCATGCAAAAATGACCCCGCAACTAGGACAGGCGGTTCCTCACGGTTTTCGACAAGCCTGATCGATAGCGTCATGTGTTCCACACGTCAGTTTGGATTTTGTGGGAATCCCGGGAACTGGCTATGAAGAATGTGCCCATAGGTTTCTCTTTTAAATCCCCACCCCCCGGACGTTCCGGTGGGATGGGGAGAACCGTACAAGAGGTGATGCGATTTTTCAACTTGAGATTTTCGTCAAGAGAAGAAATGGAGTATTGCATCGACTTGTTGAACAACCACGGAAGACTTCGTTGGGCCATAAAGGCAATTATGTGTACCATTGCGCCAAACTACGGAATAATAGCGGGTTATGTGAGCGAACATATGTCCTACAAAGTAATGGAGATCTCGCAGACAGTCGAGTTGTTTACGCAATTTCGTGTCTCACCAGTGACGTTCAAGGGCCTTCATGCCCTGGCGTTTGCAGAAATTGCTCATCGAAGACCTGTGATCAGTGTTCATCTGTACGTCCTTGCGTTCCTTCCCAAACTGAGTAGAAAACTGGAAGAAATTGTAAAAATGCGAGGAAACATGCTATATGCTCTGATGAATCCGATTTCTTTGCTGTTATTTAATAACGCCAGGGGGCCCTGCAGTCTTCGCGAACGGATGATGGGAGAACTCGTTTTGACGCACAGGCAGTTCTTCCGTACAGCACCAATTACCCACAAACTCCCTCCATTAAAACAGAACAAGCCAGCCGGATAAAAACTGGGCTAAATACATATATTACTCTGACGTTGCGAAGAATGTGTCAAAACGGAAGTTTTGGAGGGATGAAATAACATAATTTACTTTGTCAAAGCTGGGAGAGAGGGACAGCATTGAGAAGTCCATATTTAATGCCATTTCCCCTAATTAAAAATTGTCAAATCAAATCTTCTGGGATGGAAGAGGTAAGAATTAAAAGAAGAAGATCTTGGTTTCGTAGTCTAATAATCCACCATTTGACTTCCAAGGCCCAATCTCTAGCTAAAAGTTTTGGGCACATGGTCAATTTTATTAATTTGAGTTATATAACAGTCAGTTTGAGCCCCAAAATAGATGCCGCATAACCTAAAATAAAAACACGAATTGAGGCAAATGATCGCATCCCAGGCATTTGCATAGAACAAGAAGAAGAAGACATGTCAGTCACCGGAATCGTGGTTTTGTTAGTCTGAGCTTTCGAACCCTTGCGGAAGTCCATCTTCAGAGATAAAATCT